TCCCCCAGGTTACGGCTCAGTTGACCATGTTATCCAGGACGCCCTGGTCCTGGCTGGGATATATGTGTTTGCAGCCCCACCTGAAAAGCTGCTGCTTCACTCCCACCTGACCCTACTGCCTTTCACCAGCAGGTGGGAGTATTTCAATAAAGGTGTATCCACCATTCACAGTGTGGCGGTGGAGGTTGTGAGCCACCTCCATCACGGGGTGGGCACATACCACCAAACCTATTACAGGTGCCTTTAAAACTCTCTTTCCCAATAAATATCTTTACATTTTAGTTTATTTCTATTATAAATAATTTTTATAAAAACTTATTTTAGCAAACAAGTTTTGCGACATAAATCCCAGAGAAGGTTTTCATAAAAGCATAATAATATATGTTAATAAAATACAACTCTACTTTGTACCTTATACATTTAACTTTTTTTAATTTGATTTTTATCTTTATTTGATAAGAGTAATATAAATATATTCACATAATCCAGTATCAAGTGTTTGGGATAACCTCAGATGGCATAATAACAAAATTAATATAAAATAAATAAATTACTAACATACATTGATGTCCTGCAGAAACTGATTGTGGGATTAGAAGCTTCTAAATATAAAATGATAATTAATAAATCTTAAATAGTAAATTACATAATATAAAAAAGTCAGACAAGCTAAGCCTTTAATTGATTGGCTGTTTGGAAAGGCAGGCAGAGATAAACAAATCAGCGTGGCCATAGAATTTGGCCACGGCCTCAGCTGGGAGGGTGTGGATCCTGGCCTGCAGCAAATCATAGAGGTCCTCAGTCCCAGCTGGGGTCCCTCGCTTGACAACTTGCTTGAGCCACCCAAAGACTTCCTTGATAGGATTTAGGAAGGGCAAATAAGCAGGGAGAAAGAGAATGCGCAAATTTTTTGTGGCCAATTGCTGGGGGCCCACTGTAATGCTAGTGTCAATCATTGGGAATTCCTCAAAAATATCAGCCACCTTATGGAGACCAATGTTGTCCAGCACAATTATGTTGGTGAAGCCCGGGCTCGTGTGCCTCAGGTGCTCCTGGACCAATCGGAGAAATACTAGAAAGGTATGGCTGTTGTGGGAGCCTAGTTTCATTTGATAGAGCTCAACCCCCTTTGGACTGAGGAGAGCCACCATCAAATAGGCTGTGGCGTGGACTGCAGCACACCAAGCCATCCCGTCATTTGAGCCTTTGGGGACATACCCATACTCATTGCGCATTGACGAGGCAAATGCTGATTTTTCAATATAGTAAAATTTGACTGTCCCCTTGGCTTTGAGGGCAGTGTACGCCTCTGCATAGTTTTTTCAGGCGTCAATGTTGGCTGGACTATTATGATTGTAGGGGGATACCCTGAGCTTTTTCCATGAAAAGTGCATTCCCTTGACCAAATAATAATAAAAGGAAATTGAGGCCTCAACCCAAAAATTAGATTTGACCATGGCCTGTATATTTGCCAGTTCAAGATGACAATCTTGGGTTATCCACTGGTGGATTGCCTATTTGTGCTCCTTGGTGAGCATAGTGGAAACAAGCAAGGATTTCTCCGCGGCAAGGACTTGGCCATTATTGATGAAGATGCTGAATGTCTTGCTGGCGTACTTGGGATTCACCCCAACAAGAGCCGCAGCTGCCTTGTAATCACCAGATTCACATATTAGCTTAAGCAGGATGATGTGTTTGATATCAGGAATGTGATTCTGGGCGGGTGTTTTGGCAGTGGGGATTGACTCATTGATATTGGACACAACACAGGGCATAGGTACCTTGGTGTAGAACCCAGCAACTTTCTGCAATCAGCTGTCCTTCATTGGTTCTATAGAACTCTGGCTCCTTGTCCTCCTCCAGATTTCCATCACTGACGTAGGGCTTGTAGCTAGTATCTGTCACAGTAGGTTTCATAATGCCGGGTATTGTCCGTCCAAGTAAGAAGGCTCAGAAGTCCTGGAAACCTGTATCAAAATTGACCGAGTTAACGGGTTTAAACCAAACAATCAATCAAAAATGGGTCACGGCTGCTCCAGTCTGCCAGCTGAAACCAGCTCTTCCTTGAAAACTGATGTTGATAAATTGACGTAATATGAGGGTCACCCAATATAAGCTTATTAATCAGCAAGGTCATCAGAAACTGGTCACACAAGGGTTCTTTGCAACCTGGACTAGATACTTACTTGAAGATGTAGAAGAAATAGGAGGTCAAGACTCAGGTGGTATTGCTTAGTCAATTTTTCTGATATATATTAAATAATTTTCCCTGTTTCAACTCTAAGAGTTGAGTCCTCCTAAATTTACTCAATAAAAATCAATTATCCCAAGTTCTAATTTTAAATTTTAAAAATGCATCCTGTGATCGGGTTGTTGCGGTATATCCCATACAATCTGATTCTGAACAGAATCATTTCAGGAAGATGGGGCCCAGCATCTGGAACTTTGTTGTTGGTGCCACCAAATGTTACTTTTATGCCAGCCAATTTTGTAGCTCCTCCCCCCATTCTTGAAACTGAAAATTGTGTCACTTCTCAATGCCCAGAATTTTACGCTGAAGATGCATTGATGCTTTCTCAGGTCATTTATCTTGGTTTACTCTGGTTAGGACTGATTGTTCTACTTAATTCTGGAGTTACAATTGGAAATTTCACAAAAAAATATCTGAAGCTGTGTTGGTGGTTAATCATCAATTCTATGTGGATTTGGGTGGTAATTCCCCATCATTTAGAAATGGCTTCATATTACCCAGTGATTTCTGTCACAGTATCAAGTACAGGCTTCACCTTCTCCACCATGGCTGACGGGACTGACTCTTGCCAGTACACAATGTTAAACACATACAAAGTAAGTTCTACCTCCTTGTTTCTAACTGTTTTTGTTGTAGTAACCTTGGTAGGCTTCCAGGTCAGCTTGGGGACCCAAGGGTTGATGCTCCGCACCCTAGCAGCTTGTGCTCCTTGAACCAACTGTGTCAGTGCAGTGTCACTATCAAACTCTTCTCTCCTGTCTCCTTTCTGAATAGGCATTTGTGTTGCACTAACTCTGTTCTTTGACCCGCGGGAGCAACCACAACCGCAGTGCACAACAGGTGCAATGGTACTCTGTTGCTGTGTTCTTTCCATTTTACAATTTAATAAAATACTAAATAAAATTCAATTAAGTTACTCACTAATTTTAATTTTTGCTTTTATCTGAATATGGATATTTAATTAATATTTTTCCCACCCAATATCCCAATTATAGATTTTTTATTTCTTAATTAGTTGTTTCTGGTTTTCCAACGTCCATTTTAGAATACCCAAAATAATTTTCACACATTTCCCAGATTTTATGCCATATTTAAGCACCCAACACAATACTTTAAAAATTAATGTCTCAGATTGTGTGTCTTATTTTAGATACTTTGGTATCATTCTTGAGTACAGTTCATTGCACACAACATTTGAGTGATTTTGTTTACATAGTGAGTTGCTATTGTGTTTCATTTTTGGGTTGAGTTTTAACACACTGTGCTTGGGTGTATTTTATCCCCAATTCACATAGTAAACATATGTACATCAAAAGTCAACTCACATCATTTTTTTGTTAATTCATGTATTTTGGATTATATTTTGAATGGGTTTACTTTGTGTGTGAGCACTTCTTTGCTGTATTGACCCATTTCACCCATTAACGCCAAAAATTCCTGTTAATAAAGTGTATATTTTAACCTGATACTTGGATTTTATTTAAATTTGAAACCGTTTTGTTTAAATCTGAGGTATTTTTGGTTGTCACCATAGCTTCTAAAACTACTGTAACAATCACCTCCATGAACTAGTAGTCAATCACAGTGTAGCTAGCCCTGGACAGTGTTCAGGCAGACAACTGATCCTGCTGGTTAAGAGATTCAGTTGTGTGGCATGTCTAGAACAAACACTATAAGCCAAGGAAGTTGTCAAACAAGCTTTCATCAACATCCACCAGAAAATAATGAGGGCACTGTCATGACGCTCTAATGATACTTTAGTCTTTCCTTAGCATTGTGAGCTAAAACGTGGGCAGCTGACCTGACTTCAATATCAGTTGTCTAATAAAGTGTTGACATTCTGAATTCATTCCTTAATTTAATTCTAATTAAGTGAAGAACAAGAGATCATACTGTTGCCATACAGCATTATTCCTATAGTAAAATATAGAGACAACAACTATGAACCTATATTCAGAAGTAGGAAGAAACATCCCAAATCCTTCATGTCTTGGGCCTATCAGACTTGCTACTTCCAATGACAATAAATATTCTGGGCCGCAGGTCACGCCAAAGTCACAGGTTCTCTGTACTTTCCTAATGTTAGAAGACTTAGGAGATCACTGGTGGATAAGAAAATACTTTGGTCTGCAGATTTCTGATGCGACTTTAGTTTGCTCTAGTCTGACTTTGATTTGTCTATCTTAACAGCTGTAATAAGTACAGTACTTGTAGACTAGATACCTTTCTCGCGGATTTCATTGTGCAGCAAAAACACCTCACATCAGGGGGCTTAAATATTCGGTTGAAAATAAAGGCCAACATCATTGTTGATCTCCTCAGTATATGCCTTATATTCAATCTAAACTGATTTCGATTTGTTTATTTTGCTAGGTATAACCCCAAATATAAGGGGTTTGTTTTAAATGAAAGTCTTAAAATCTTATCCAATCAAAATTAGTTTTTCAATATAATTTTTTTAACTGCCTATACTCTTGATATCCAATAAGCCTATCTTCAATTTGGTCAACCAGGAGCTGTTGGTAGGCTGGGGACATATTCTAGCCCTTTGAGATAATTTAAGACTAGCTATACAGGCTGGCCTGTAAATGAAAACTAATCGAAATGAAAGCGCTTTTATAGAAGTTTTTCTACTTTTTAAAAAAAATTAAAATTTATAAAGCTGCATTTGGTTGCAAACTTTCAACTTCCGTTTTAATGAAAATAAGTAACAAAGTTTAAATTAACAAAACGTTTTTTCTCCTCCAACGCCCCTGTAGTCTAATGGCTAAGACGTTGCCCTCCTAAGGCAGAGGTTGCAGGTTCGAGTCCTGCCTGGGGTACCAACATCTTTTTAACCGCTCAAATGTTTTGGATGGGGTCTTTGTTTTAATTAGCTTGGTCTTTGGTCGATTTCATGAGTGGGGCTCTTTTGTATAGGTCGGGTTGGCTTTGTCCCATTTGTTCTAAAATATTGGTGACGCTGGGTCGTTTCAAGCCTGGCTTTCTTCTCTTGAATATAGCCAGCGGATAATAGTTTATTCTTGCAGTTGCAACAGGTGCTTGGTTGAATGGGTTTGACTAAGCATTTGTCAGGATGACATGTGGCATCGAACTTTCTAGAATCTGCTCTAGAGGTTTTTGGCTTGTTGGGCTGATTAAATAAAGGTTTGTTTGTATCTGATTTATTAACTATAAAATTAACATTCAGATTTCACATTGTTGTTGATATAAATTGGTAATATAAAGTGGTCAAGATTGAAAGCGATTTGCTTTTGAATTCATCCAGCTATTGGGATTTTATCTGATTTAGATTTGCTTGGCTGAGGTGGAAAATCTTTTTGGTTGCTGGTCAGTCTTTGGTTTGCTCACATGGATGCAATGCGTTGCCTTGGTTAGAGATGGTTGCAAGATGCATAGATGAGGAGCGTCAGTTTTGATAGGCCAAAATAGTTATCCAGATATTTCATTGGATTGACGGGAAATAAGGTAAACGATAGGGGCTTGTGTGTGAGAGGGGACGGAATATGATTGGCTGGTTACAAAGCAATGGGATGAATTGGTCAACACGAGTTCTCAAAGATTTGGGATGAGATCTGGGAGAGATAAAATTGTGGAGGGGACCAAAGTTCATCTCCTCTTGAACTCAAAAAGACTAGAATTCCAAAATGAGCGCAACTGACGGTAAAGATCATCTTTCTATTGTTATCTGTGGGCACGTCGATTCCGGCAAGTCCACCACCACTGGTCGTCTTCTGTTCGAACTCGGAGGTATCCCCGAGCGTGAAATGGAGAAGCTGAAGCAGGAAGCTGAACGTCTCGGCAAGTCTTCCTTCGCTTTTGCTTTCTACATGGATCGCCAGAAGGAGGAGCGTGAGCGTGGTGTCACCATCGCTTGCACCACCAAGGAGTTCTTCACCGATAAGTGGCACTACACCATCATTGACGCTCCTGGTCATCGTGATTTCATCAAGAACATGATTTCTGGTGCCGCTCAGGCTGATGTTGCCCTTCTTATGGTTCCCGCTGATGGTAACTTTACCACCGCCATCCAAAAAGGAGACCACAAGGCTGGAGATATCCAGGGACAGACCCGCCAGCATGCTCGTCTTCTCAATCTTCTCGGTGTCAAGCAGCTCATCATTGGTATTAACAAGATGGACTGTGACACCGCCGGATACAAGGAGGACCGTTACAACGAAATTCGCGATGAAATGCGCTCTATGTTGATCAAGGTCGGATGGAAGAAGGAGTTCGTTGAGCAGAACGTTCCCGTCCTCCCCATCTCCGGATGGATGGGTGACAATCTTCTCAAGAAGTCCGAAAAGATGACCTGGTGGAAGGGTGTTGACGTTAAGAACCAAAGTGGCAAGGATTTCCATATCGAGACCCTCCAGGTTGCTCTTAACGACTTCGTCGAGCTTCCCTCTCGTGTCGATGACGCTCCTATGCGTCTCCCCGTTTCTGGTATCTACAAGATTAAGGGTGTCGGAGATGTTGTTACTGGCCGTGTTGAACAGGGTAAACTTCTTCCCAACTCCGAAGTTGTCTTCCTTCCCACCCACACTGCTTCCAACCCTTGTACTGGCAAGGTCTTCACCATTGAAATGCACCACAAGCGTGCCGACAAGGCCCAGACCGGTGACAACATCGGTATGAACGTCAAGGGTCTTGACAAGGTCAACATGCCCCGTGCTGGTGATGTTATGATCCTCAAGTCTGATCAAACCTTGAAGCCCGTCAAGAACTTCACTGCCCAGATCCAGACCCTCGACATCCCAGGTGAAGTTAAGAAGGGATACTCCCCCATTGGTTTCGTCCGTTGCGGTCGCTCAGCCTGTAAGATCGTCGGCATCAAGTGGAAGATTGGCAAGGAGACTGGTCGCAAGAAGCTTGAAGACCCCCATTCCCTCAAGGCCAACGAAGCTGCTGAGGTTGTTTTCGAGCCCATCCAGCCCCTGGTTGTTGATACCTTTAAGAACTGCGAAGGTCTCTCTCGTATTGCTTTCCTTGATGGTAACACTGCTGTCATGTTGGGCAAGGTTGTCGCCATCGAGTACAAATAAGCTTATTCAATAAAACTCTGTCTTTTACCTGCTCACCTTCTCTTTAGGCGAATTAGATGCTGAGCTTAGTTCCCCGCTCAGTTAACACAAGTTTCATCTCGGGTTTATATGTCGTATTTTCATTTATAGCTTATATTATGTTGTGGTTTTGTGTTTTTCTTTTTAATAACTGTATATACGCTGAAAAAGCTTATTATTACTTGTCATCTAAGAGTTACGTAATAAAAATACATTTTTATCTAACATATAAGGGTTTTTTCGTTTGATTCTTCACTTGTGGAGAGTAGACTTTAAAAGCTTAGTATTTACATAAAATATACACTAAAATCATCTACTTAACTCCATAATCAACCTTTTCACGTGAACAATATGTAATGTACACGAGTCAGGCTTGAGTAAGCGCTTTAATAAGTGCATTTATGTATACTTTAGCCTTTCAAGTTGATATTCATCCAATAATTCTAAATATCTTTGAAAATTTAGAAATTATACTAAATCATCTTCTAGCAGACCAAGCTTGCAATGCTATATACCTGATTGGTTAAAACCATCGATCGCCAGCAAATATGTACCCAGAGTAATAAGAAGCCAAATAATTAATCATTTTTAGATATCCCTTTATTTAACAATCCAGTCTTTGATTTATATTGCCAGCCTAGCTATGAGGTAAACTTATCTTTATCCATCACGGAACGTAATATTTGATAACCCAACTTTAAAATGGCCACCTTTGGAGAAATATAACTTGTTTATTGGTGTCAGTGCAGAAAAGGAGCTGCTAATGTGATATATTATTATTCGTACTTCTGTGTGGATAATATAAGTTTGAGCTAGCCCACAACCATTGAAGTATTTTCATTGTTAAAGTTGAGTAAAAGGACATAATATTGAGAAACGATAGAATTGGTTTAGAAATCAATTCCTACTGCTTCTGAGTTTACCGATCTTGATTTAAACTATATGAGCATCAGTTATGTGAACAACTTACAATCGGTATTGGAAGTAGAAGAGGGTTTTGGCACAAAAATCCAAACGATAGTCAGTTGGTTATATCCATGGTGGGAACATCAAAGCGGTGCTCACGTTCCCAGTTATACCTGTTTCGAATCTACATGACTGCTGCTGGAAACCTTATATGCATAATGTTAGGTTCTGAAACCATGTTCTGGAATAGCCTTGACTTAGAACTATGCATTAAAACATGTTCTGGGTCATTTATCGAGTAACAGTAGAGGTTTTAAGGTGTTCCAGGAACATTTGCCATTCTGAGACTAATTTTTTTAAAAACTGCTTTTGACTTTTTTACAATTCATTGAGCAAATTGATATGATAGATTTAATATATAAGTAAAATAAGAAGACTTTTATCAACTACTCTTTTAATACTATTGAATTATACTGATTGTACCAGATAATTGGTTGTTGTACTTATTCTCTAAATGAAATATCGTATAATAGTGTTTGCTTAACTTACTACACTAAGGTTAAACCATCTGATACAAACTGAATTTGGCAGAAACAGCGTATTTCTAAACAGGTTAGACGAGAACGTGTTTGTCAGGACATGAGTTTAAACCTGATCTGTTAGAATCATTTCCTGCACATAACAATCCCATGAAATTGAACTGGATAACCCCCAAATTCATGGATTATTCTCATAGCTAACTCTAAGAGCCTTGGATTCACTAAGATGAGATGGGCAGGTTTCTTAGGTCAAAAGTGCAAAAATTGAAACACTATGTAGGGTGCAGAAATAAAAAATGTCAAAGGTTGAAGTGCAAAAATCAATTTTCCAAAAGTTAACTTTGAAGCCAAAAAACATTTAGTTCTTAAAATAAAGCTATAAACTTTAAAGCTTCTAATAGACTGAAAAAACCCCAAGGAGCTCAATTCTGCAAGAGAAAGTATATGCTAGATAATAAAAAAATCCTTAAATTAGCTGTTTTTTAAAGAAATTTTCATTTTGTTTTCAAAAGCAAAATTACACTAGAATTTATATGTACCTGTATTCCATTGAATATAAAATATAAAACTACACAAAAACCATTTAATAAACTATAGTTTTTTAATAAAGTTTTAGCTTCATTTTCAGCTTATGTAAAGCTATAATAATACTTCAGTATAAGCAAAATAAAGGATATTTCCTAAAAGATAAAAGCATATGATTTTAGTTATTCTAGTTGAATAGTGATATTAGTTTAATAATAAATT